TATTAATTAAAAGTCTATCAAAGGAACAGCATATGGGCCATATGAAAAGAGGTTTTGAAAAATACACTGGTTCAAACTCAGTGAGAAAAAATACAAATTGTTTTGCCTAAAATCAAGTATCTAGGATAAATCATTGACAAAAACAGTCGTCAACCAGATCCGTCGAGGGCAAGTACAATTAATAATATGCCTCCTCCAAAAAACTTACTAGGTTACAAGCATTTCTAGGACTAGCAAATTGTTATCCAATCTATATACCTAATATGCAGAATTTAAGAGCTCCACTGAACAATTTACTTAAAAAAAAGACGTAAAGTGGAACTGGACTAATAAGTGTCAGAAGGCATTTGAAGAAATCAAGAAAATACTAACGTTAGACTTATCATTAGCGCACTACGATCCAAAAGCAGAAATCGTATTGGCTTCAGATGCTAGTGCCTATGGTAGAGAAGAGTTAGTTTTACATAAATATGATGACGGTAACATGAAAGCACATGCTTCGTGTTCGCTACTACCGACAGAATAATCTACAACCAAATCTAAAAAGAGGCGTTAGCAATATTTGCAGTGAAAAAATTTCACAAATTTATACATGGAAGGAAATTTTCGTTTACAGACGTAGCAGCGTCCTCTATTATCAATTTATGGTTCGAACAAAAAAGTAATTCCTACGCATACAGCGAATAGATTACAACGCTGGGGTACCATCTTATTACATGAAGGCTGAGCTTTTCCCGAGTGGCCGAAAAGCATCCTCTCTTAACTGTAATCTATCTCAAAACTGCTTCCCTATATCTTCTGGGATACGGGGATTAGGCTAGTAAGGATCATTTGTCCTGCCAAGTGCGGTGCATAATAATTAAGGAAAAAGAAGGAAAGTTAAGTCGACAAAATGTAATGCAAATCTTAAATTAAACTCCTACAAATTCTGAAAAAATCAGTGCGTGTTATACACGAGGGATTTTTCGTAGACCCTATTTTTCGTGCGTGTTATATACCAATAATTTCCATGAATAGAATGAGTGAATGAATAGACAGATAAACATGTAATATATACGATAGGGCGATAAAAGGTTCTCGACTCAACTAAAAATATTTGGGGAAAAAAAGAAGAAAAAAAAGAATTTCTGATAAGGAAATGTGGGTGGAATCGTGGATATTTCAGCCCGCTCCTGTGAATTTTAAATAAGGAAGCATGGAGAAGAAAAGTTAGATAGATAGATAGATAGATAGATAGATAGATAGATAGATAGAATAAGGTTGAGATAGATAGAAAGAAAGAATAAGGTTTAGATAGATAGATAGATAGATAGAATAAGGTTGAGATAGATAGATAGATAGATAGATAGATAGATAGATAGATAGAATAAGGTTGAGATAGATAGATAGATAGAATAAGGTTGAGATAGATAGAAAGAAAGAATAAGGTTTAGATAGATAGATAGAATAAGTTTGAGATAGATAGATAGAAAGAAAGAATAAGGTTTAGATAGATAGATAGATAGATAGATAGATAGATAGATAGATAGATAGATAGATAGATAGAAAGGTTGAGATAGATAGATAGATAGATAGAATAAGGTTGAGATAGATAGATAGAAAGAAAGAATAAGGTTTAGATAGATAGATAGATAGATAGAATAAGGTTTAGATAGAAAGAATAAGGTTGAGATAGATAGTTAGATAGATAGATAGAATAAGGTTTAGATAGATAGAAAGAATAAGGTTGAGATAGATAGAAAGAAAGAAAGAAAGAATAGGGTTGAGATAGATAGATAGATAGATAGATAGATAGATAGATAGATAGAATAAGGTTGAGATAGATAGATAGATAAAGTACAAAAAGATTTAATAGATATATTAAAAAAAAACGCAAAGCATAAATAAAATTTAAAAGCCACCCACGAAGGATTTTGACAATTATAACAACCACTGTTGCTTCTTCCCACTTCTACCCCATCCAACCGCCATGTTATCAACGCTTCTGTTCAAAACCGTTGTTCGGGGCTATTGTTATTAGAGTTATGATTACAGGTGGCGCAGCAATCGCCGGATTCTCAGGCGGGTGACGTCTACAATATCACACCACTCTGTCCGAGGAAAAAGGAATTAGTGTGCGCACAAGGAGAAACATGCAAGATGAGACCCACTACCTCAACTACTTGAACGCTAATGGGAAGGACGGGATGTAAAACGCCTGTCGAATTGCGCATGCGCAAACTTGAATTTTCCTTACTAGAAACGAAGGTATTTATTTGCATTTCCACGAGGGCCAATTCGACGCAAGGTCAAGTTTAATGGGGTGGCCCCCACACGTGTAGGTGTGGGTAAAGGTAAAAATTGTCCAGCCCAACCGGATTTTGCCGCAAGCTGTATTTACACACCTTCCCACGGAGATGCGATGTAGCACAAGGCATTGTTTTTAAGTGGCAGCCCACACACAAGTGGCAGCCCACACACAAACTTCATAGTACCTTCGGCATGCTGCTGCAGACATCAAGATGTAACTCTGGCCCTATTCTGCTAGGTTGTCAGCAAAAGGAACATGCGACTTGCAAATTGGAGAACTGGAAATAAGTACAAAAATTTAAATATATAGAAAGTGCTTTAACAGAGGACAGAAATGTCGACACTGGAATCCGAAAACACTATTTACATTATTCGGACTATTGTCCTCATCTTTGTCGCCATATTTATTACAACGTTTCGGCCGTTGTACGCTCCGTCCTTCTTCAGTATCTGTCTGTATTTCTGAGATGAGGTATTATGTACACTATTTACATTATTCGGACTATTGGCCTCATCTTTGTCGCCATATTTATTACAACGTTTCGGCCGTTGTACGCCCGTCCTTCTTCAGTATCTGTCTGTATTTCTGAGATGAGGTATTATGTACACTATTTACATTATTCGGACTATTGGCCTCATCTTTGTCGCCATATTTATTACAACGTTTCGGCCGTTGTACGCTCCGTCCTTCTTCAGTATCTGTCTGTATTTCTGAGATGAGGTATTATGTACACTATTTACATTATTCGGACTATTGGCCTCATCTTTGTCGCCATATTTATTACAACGTTTCGCCGTTGTACGCTCCGTCCTTCTTCAGTATCTGTCTATTTCTGAGATGAGTGTTATGTACACTATTTACATTATTCGGACTATTGGCCTCATCTTTGTCGCCATATTTATTACAACGTTTCGGCCGTTGTACGCTCCGTCCTTCTTCAGTATCTGTCTGTATTTCTGAGATGAGGTATTATGTACACTATTTACATTATTCGGACTATTGTCCTCATCTTTGTCGCCATATTTATTACAACGTTTCGGCCGTTGTACGCTCCGTCCTTCTTCAGTATCTGTCTGTATTTCTGAGATGAGGTATTATGTACACTATTTACATTATTCTGACTATTGTCCTCATCTTTGTCGCCATATTTATTACAACGTTTCGGCCGTTGTACGCTCCATCCTTCTTCAGTATCTGTCTGTATTTCTGAGATGAGGTATTATGTACATTATTTACATTATTAGGACTATTGTCCTCATCTTTGTCGCCATATTTATTACAACGTTTCAGTGGTTACCCCAGTGAGCGAAATAAAGGGTCCAGTTCGACATTCTAACGACCTGAAAAAGGCCGGAGCGTACAACGGCCGGAACGTTGTGATAAATATAACATGCTCTGATAAATATAACAAATATAAAGATGCTGAGAATTCTATAAATGGAGAGAGTAAGTAGCAAGGCTGGAAGAAAAACGCAACAGAAAAAACACTTCTACTCAGAATCAAGAACTGATATTCCTTAGACACATAATGAGGAAGGAAGGCTTGGAAAGTTTTACTCTCACAGGACGTATTATTGAGGTCATGAAAAGATAGGGGAAAGGCAACGAGCATATAGAAATTTATATATTACATAATTTCATTTAAATATATTTCAATCATATATATATATAAGGATATCTGTCTATATTTTTGAGATGAGGTATTATGTACACTATTTACATTATTCGGACTATTGTCCTTATCTTTGTCGCCATGTTTATCACAACGTTTCCGGGTGGTTGGAATGTCGAATTGAACCCTTTATTTCGCTCACTGAGATAGACGTGCCATGTTTAATGGATGTCAGTTATCAGTTAACTCCTGTTAATTTTCCCTCTGAAAGTTCTCCACCTCCTTAACCAAGTATTGAAGTCACACTGGATCTAACTAACGCCTTTATCCACTGTGCCATGTATCCTTGAGGATATCTGTATATGAATTTTTGGCTATTATAAACTTAATGTCTTCACCACATTTTTTTACCAATGCTCATATTGCAATTTTTGCTGTTATCATTGCATGTTTTTTTTACCAGATTTCATATTGCAATGTTTGATGTTATTATCGCTTTTCTCTGACACTCCTTATTACTGGTTAAATATGGCGACAAAGATGAGGACAATAGTTCGAATAATGTAAATAGTGTACATGATACCTCATCTCAGAAATATAAACAGATACTCATTGGGATAGCGACAAAAGTTCAGAACTTTACAGCTAGGATCCGCTATGTCATCTACACAACGGCGAACCATACCCATTCATATTCCATTAGTAAGGATGAAGTCCTATTCAGACAGCTTCTTCTCACGAGCCGCTTCTTTGGAAAACAGATTTTCGAAATGGTGCTTCTCCGAACTCTGCAATATTAACCTCTTCAAGTCCAGGGTCAATCGATATCTATCTTATAAATTCGCATAATCTACAATCTTTATGTTTATAAAGTAACCCCCCTCCTGTAACCTATTATGGTGGTTGGATCGTGGGTTTGGTATTTGGAGAACAATAGTGTAATAAAAACAAGCTGCTTATAAGGAAGAGGCTTATTAAAAGTCAGGAGTTTCGCTGTAGAACAACGATTGACGGCCGAGTCACGTTAACTGTTATATAATCATACATATCCAGCTTGTTTGTTTTATGATAAGGTTTTTGGTTTGGGTTTTTAAGTTTTCATTCTCGAAGAAAGGAACAAGGTAAGTGGAAAAGAAAAAAAGAAATATGGCGAACCATGGGGAAAATAAAGAAGAAAAAGAAAAAAAAAAAAAAAACAAGAAATTGTAAAATGATATGAGATTGAGAAAGAAAGAAAAAGAAAGAAAGAAAGAAAGAAAGAAAGAAAGGCAGGCAAAATATGATAAAAGTAAAGAAAAAGTTAAAAAAGATATGGGATTGAGGTAAAGAAAGAAAGAAAGAAAGAAAGAAAGAAAGAAAGAAAGAAAGAAAGGCAAAATATGATAAAAGTAAAGAAAAACGTAAACGATATGGGATTAAGAAAAAGAAAGAAAAAAGAAAGAAAGAAAAAGAAAGAAAGAAAGAAAGAAAGAAAAAAGAAATGCAAAAAGTAAAAGTAAAAAAAAGGTTGAAAAAGATATGGGATTGAGGTAGAAATAGAAAAAGAAAGAAAGAAAGAAAGAAGGAAAGGCAAAATATGATAAAAGTAAAGAAAAAAGGTGAAAAAGATATGGGATTGAGGTAGAAATAGAAAGAAAGAAAGAAAGAAAGGCAAAATATGATAAAAGTAAAGAAAAAAGGTGAAAAAGATATTGGATTGAGGTAGAAAGAAAGAAAGAAAGAAAGAAAGAAAGAAAGAAAGAAAGAAAGAAAGGCAAAATATGATAAAAGTAAAGAAAAAAGGTAAAAAAGATATGGGATTGAGATAGAAATAGACAGAAAGAAAGAAAGAAAGAAAGAAAGAAAGAAAGAAAGAAAGGCAAAATATGATAAAAGTAAAGAAAAAAGGTGAAAAAGATATGGGATTGAGGTAGAAATAGAAAGAAAGAAAGAAAGAAAGAAAGAAAGAAAGAAAGGCAAAATATGATAAAGGTAAAGAAAAAAGGTGAAAAAGATATGGGATTGAGGTAGAAATAGAAAGAAAGAAAGAAAGAAAGAAAGAAAGAAAGAAAGAAAGAAAGAAAGAAAGAAAGGCAAAATATGATAAAAGTAAAGAAAAAAGGTGAAAAAGATATGGGATTGAGGTAGAAATAGAAAGAAAGAAAGAAAGAAAGAAAGAAAGAAAGGCAAAATATGATAAAGGTAAAGAAAAAAGGTGAAAAGATATGGGATTGAGGTAGAAAAGAAAGAAAGAAAGAAAGAAAAGAAAGAAAGAAAGAAAGAAAGAAAGAAAGAAAGGCAAAATATGATAAAAGTAAAGAAAAAAGGTGAAAAAGATATGGGATTGAGGTAGAAATAGAAAGAAAGAAAGAAAGAAAAGAAAAGAAAGAAAGAAAGGCAAAATATGATAAAAGAAAGAAAAAAAGGTGAAAAAGATATGGGAAGAAAAGAAAGAAAGAAAGAAAGAAAGAAAGAAAGAAAGAAAAAATATGATAAAAGTAAAAAGAAAAAAAGGTGAAAAAAGATATGGGATTGAGGTAGAAATAGAAAGAAAGAAAGAAAAGAAAGAAAAAAGAAAGAAAAGAAAGAAAGAAAGAAAGAAAGAAAAGGCAAAATATGATAAAAGTAAAGAAAAAAGGTAAAAAAGATATGGGATTGAGGTAGAAATAGAAAGAAAGAAAGAAAGAAAGAAAGAAAGAAAAAATATGATAAAAGTAAAGAAAAAAGGTAAAAAAGATATGGGATTGAGGTAGAAATAAAAAGAAAGAAAAACAAAGAAGGCTAAATATGATAAAAGTAAAGAAAAACGTAAAAGACATGGGATTGAGAAAGAAAGAAAGAAAGAAAGAAAGAAAGAAAGAAAGAAAGAAAGAAAGAAAGGCAAAATATGATAAAAGTAAAGAAAAAAGGTAAAAGATATGAAATAGAAACAGAAAGAAAGACGGACAGAATAGAATGAAGGAAAATTAGTGGCAAAAAATGGAGAAAGAAAAGAAAAATTAAGCGTTGAATGTAAAAGAAGAAAAATAGAAAAAAATCAAGTTATGAATGAAATTACTAGAATTAAGAAAGAAAAATAAAAAGTAGAGGAAAAGAATGAAAAAGCCAAATGTGAAGGAAATAATGAAAGAAAACTCAAATAAGCTTTAAATGAATAAACAAGGAATAAAGAAAGAAAGAATAGTCTAAGCGAATAAGAAAATATTGAAAGAGAAAAAGAAACACAAGTTGTTGAAAATAAGATGAAAAGTGGGGAGAAATAATAAAGGAATAGAAAGAAAACCCAAATAAATTACAAAGAGAAAATACCGAAGGAAAAGGAGAAAAAAATGAACCAAAGAAATTCAATGAAAGAGGAAAGCAAACAAATTAGTGACAGAAAATATTTAAAAGAAGAAATAAAAAGAAAGGAACCAATGAAATTAGAGAGAGGTTATATTGAAGAGAGAAAGAAAGGACAAAGGAACCAATGAAATTAGAGAGAGGTTATATTGAAGAGAGAAAAGAAAGGACAAATGAAACCAGAGAAATTAGAAGAGAAAAGAAAAGGACAAAGGAACCAATGAAATTGAAGATTGAAGAGAGAAAGAAAGGACAAAGGAACCAATGAAATTAGAGAGAGGTTATATTGAAGAGAGAAAGAAAGGACAAAGGAACCAATGAAATTAGAGAGAGGTTATATTGAAGAGAGAAAGAAAGGACAAAGGAACCAATGAAATTAGAGAGAGGTTATATTGAAGAGAGAAAGAAAGGACAAAAGGAACCAATGAAATTAGAGAGAGGTTATATTGAAGAGAGAAAGAAAGGACAAAGGAACCAATGAAATTAGAGAGAGGTTATATTGAAGAGAGAAAGAAAGGACAAAGGAACCAATGAAATTAGAGAGAGGTTATATTGAAGAGAGAGAAAGAAAGGACAAAGGAACCAATGAAATTAGAGAGAGGTTATATTGAAGAGAGAAAAGAAAGAACAAAGAAAATGAACAAAGGTTATATTGAAGAGAATGAAACAAAGGAACCAATGAAATTAGAGAGAGGTTATATTGAAGAGAGAAAGAAAGGACAAAGGAACCAATGAAATTAGAGAGAGGTTATATTGAAGAGAGAAAGAAAGGACAAAGGAACCAATGAAATTAGAGAGAGGTTATATTGAAGAGAGAAAGAAAGGACAAAGGAACCAATGAAATTAGAGAGAGGTTATATTGAAGAGAGAAAGAAAGGACAAAGGAACCAATGAAATTAGAGAGAGGTTATATTGAAGAGAGAAAAGAAAAAGGACAAAGGAACCAATGAAATTAGAGAGAAGTTATATTGAAGAGAGAAAGAAAGGACAAAGGAACCAATGAAATTAGAGAGAGGTTATATTGAAGAGAGAAAGAAAAGGACAAAGGAACCAATGAAATTAGAGAGAGGTTATATTGAAGAGAGAAAGAAAGGACAAAGGAACCAATGAAATTAGAGAGAGGTTATATTGAAGAGAGAAAGAAAGGACAAAGGAACCAATGAAATTAGAGAGAGGTTATATTGAAGAGAGAAAAAGAAAGGACAAAGGAACCAATGAAATTAGAGAGAGGTTATATTGAAGAGAGAAAGAAAGGACAAAGGAACCAATGAAATTAGAGAGAGGTTATATTGAAGAGAGAAAACAACAAAGGAACCAATGAAATTAGAGAGAGGTTATATTGAAGAGAGAAAGAAAGGACAAAGGAACCAATGAAATTAGAGAGAGGTTATATTGAAGAGAGAAAGAAAGGACAAAGGAACCAATGAAATTAGAGAGAGGTTATATTGAAGAGAGAAAGAAAGGACAAAGGAACCAATGAAATTAGAGAGGTTATATTGAAGAGAGAAAGAAAGGACAAAGGAACCAATGAAATTAGAGAGAGGTTATATTGAAGAGAGAAAAGAAAGGACAAAGGAACCAATGAAATTAGAGAGAGGTTATATTGAAGAGAGAAAGAAAGGACAAAGGAACCAATGAAATTAGAGAGAGGTTATATTGAAGAGAGAAAGAAAGGACAAAGGAACCAATGAAATTAGAGAGAGGTTATATTGAAGAGAGAAAGAAAGGACAAAGGAACCAATGAAATTAGAGAGAGGTTATATTGAAGAGAGAAAGAAAGGACAAAGGAACCAATGAAATTAGAGAGAGGTTATATTGAAGAGAGAAAGAAAGACACAAAAGAAACAAAAATGGATAAGGAACCAAAGACATTAGAGGGAGAAAATCTTGAATATTTTCTCTCTCTAATTTCTTTGCATTTCATTTTCACCTCAGGGAAGACAAAGAAAGAAAAGAAATTAAAGAATATATTGAATTGAGAACGAAAGAATGGAAGGAATGAAGTAAGAAAGTCTTTCAAGGAAGAATTCGCAAAGCAGATAAGAAGAAACCTCACCAAATATATAAATGCCCTGAACACAATTGTTTGCCATATCTTTCCCCTTATTGAGACCCACATTAATGGAAGACTTATATAATCATTTGATAATACGAGAAGGAAAAACTATTATATACAAACGAAAGTAATACAAATATTTCTAACGCCATCACTTGAACAATGTTAGGGAAATCATAGAAGTGACTTTTGACGTCCCTTTTTTCCCGTTTTGTTTGGGTAATCAGGCGATTATTGTACTTCATTTATAAAACATGGCAAAGATAGAAAACCTAAGAAAATGAATTCTATGCGCACTTAAAGAAATGAAAATTAGGCTGCACAGTCCTCGATGCCCAGCCTCGACTGAGCTCAAAAGCATTTCCGCGGCTTGGTAGATGGTAGGTGGTCAACCTGTTTGCCAAAACACAAGTGTAGCTAGCCTCTCTCTACTTTATCGCTATTTTCATGGAAATTGTTCACACCCTCTGCATTGCTTAGTTCCAACAGTTCAGACCTCCACAGCGAGGAAACAGCCATGAGGAAACACTGAGTCTACTCATCCTCATTCCCTTCATATTCCATTGGTAAGGAGGAAGTTCCGCTCAGTCAGCTTCTTAGGCAGAACTGTTGCAATGTGGATCAGACTCCCGGTGCGGGGGGGATTTCTCTGGCCAAGACATTCTTAATCTCTTCAAATCTAGGGTCAACGGTTTTCTATCCAATATATAGTCATAATATGTAACTCCTACTCCCGCCCTATACGCCTTACAACATTTCCAATAAGCCTCTACCTTCAGTGGCACTTAAGCCTAGTATTGGGTGAACAATAGTAAAAAATGAAATAAGATAAAGCATTTGTCTAATTCTTTCCACATAGATAGATAGATAGATAGATAGATAGATAGATAGATAGATAGATAGATAGATAGAAACAGAATTAAAAAAAGAGATATTAGAATAAAATTGATATCGATAGAATTAGATAGGCGATTATGAGCAGAACGAGATAGATAGATAGATAGATAGATAGATAGATAGATAGATAGATAGATAGATATGAACAAAGTTAAAAAGATAGATAGATAGATATGAACAAAGTTAAATAGATAGATAGATATGAACATCGATAGATAGATAGATAGATAGATAGATAGATAGATATGAACAAAGTTAGATAGATAGATAGATAGATAGATAGATAGATAGATAGATAGATAGATAATGAACATAGATAGATAGATAGATAGATAGATAGATAGATAGATAGATATGAACAAACTTAGATAGATAGATAGATAGATAGATAGATAGATAGATATGAACAAACTTAGATAGATAGATAGATAGATAGATAGATAGATAGATAGATAGATAGATAGATAGATAGATAGATGAACAGAATCAGGTAGATCATTTTTAGCCACCAACAGGAGCGTTAACTGAGTCTTTTCTAGAAGATTTTGTCTAATTGAAAGTCAAAGCCTTCAACCTCTCTTTTAGGGATTCCCTGCCTCCTTTAACTTTGAAGAATTGTTTGTGTTATAATTAACATAGTCTATTTATTTATATGCTTCGCTCGGCTCCCTATTTAACAGAGCTTCCCTCTCCGTACTTTCTCCTCAACATTTGAGACAGAGAGTGATAGAGAGATTGATAGAAAGAGAAAGAGAGAAGGAGGGACAGAGAGTGCAAGGAAATATTTTTTCATCTTCTCTCGCTCTCGCTGTGACAGACCCGCTTCAGACATCCTTCAGAAGTGGCTTGTTGGCCAATCAAGAACGTTCTTTTCTTACTCGTGGCAATATTTTTTTAAGCATAAAATAACCAACACTAATGGCCTAATGAAAAATTCTTGTTTTCTATTAAGCAAGCCAAATAAACATGCAGAGAGCAACAGTCTTTTCTTGCTCCATTCAACATGTCTCCTTTAAACTGCCATTTTGTTGGATCACAACAACGATGAAAACTCGGCCACAAATTAACATTCAACAAAATATACATTTGTCGAGGTCATACCGTTTTTGTAACCAACCGTGTGTAATCTTGGTGGTATAGACGCCCCTTGGCGATTGATTGCCTAACATTAGGAGGACAGGAAGCTGGGTGTACTTAGATATATTAAATAAACAAAACATATATACACAGGCATGACGTCATTTTTAAATAAAACCGTAACAAATACAATATTGTGCAAACTAATTGAAACAAAACGAATAATTGCGTCATTATTTTCTTTCGTATTTTTCCAAAATATGACCCAGTATACATGTTAGTACTTCGTATGTCCATTCCACGAAGTCGTTCCTTGCAGATTGCATATTCTCGATTGTATATTCTCCTTGCATATTCTCGATTGGATTTAAATCAGGAGATTCCCGGCCAGTCTATAGTACTTTGATTTGCTCACTGGTAAGGCTTGCCAGTGTGTTCGTGCAGCGTTAGCATTTTCGTACGCTTCCATCGCAGACAATGGCCATAGGACAACTAATCGGCAGTCGAGACATTAGTGTATGGGCATGATAAAAATCTGATGCAATCGCGGATGATGCAATATTTTTCTAGGCCAAATTTCATCATACACCCCGAAAATAGATGCATATTACTGCACATAACTGCAAATGACCTAACCTGAGGAAAAAATAGAAATCGATTGGACCGATACACTGACCGTATGGTGAAAGAAAGATTGGTTGTTTCAATTAATTTACTCAAGGGTGTATTTCTTTCCGACGAAGTTGTTTTGGGTAGTTTTACGATAATTGTTGAAGAATATAGTATGCCGGGTTCAAATAGCAAGGTACAGGAAGTTCCTTTGTCTTGGTTAGCAGCCAAAATAATTGAAGGAAAACTACGAATTCAATCCCACGTAAATAATAGGAAAGATTGCTCTCTTTATCCTTGTTAAGGCAACCAGTCTAGGTGATGGACAACTCTGAATTCGTAAGAATCGTAAATAATAGGGCCGACTCAACTCTTTAGAATTATTCAGACAATCAGTGCAGGTAGCAGTCGTTATGACCAACAATATATTTTATAGCAGAATTACCAACAATATATTTTATAAGAAAATGATCAACAATATATTTTATCTGTATCTGAAGTCTTACAATGGCAATCAAAATATATTAAGTTGAGGCCATAAAATTGTGTTCAAATTATTTAAATTTCCTGCAGTAAATAACCCATAGAGATTGATATGCCGATAAACAAAATCAACCAACCAAGGTCTGGCCATGACTTGTACTATGACTTAGCCTTAAATAAAGACCGCCATGTTTGTGATGTAAATTAGATTAAATTGTTCGAGAGCTGTTGATAGTTGTGTTCGCAGGAAGTCACGCATCATCGGGACCATGGCTTCGTGTCGACTAGCTTTGCTCAACTACTGATCACGCCAGGTGATACATTCTCTCCCAGTAACTAAGCTGTGCTCAGCAAAGTTGAGGAAGAGACCACAAGTTAGTTCTGTAGATGCTGAAGAAACGCAAGGCCAAAGAGCAACTCAAGGCAGAGGGTTACTGAAGGAGCTTGTTTTATGAACGTTTTATGAATGCTATTGCTATAAACATGACTGTTCTTTGAATGTTGTTACTGTTTCTACAAATATTTAGTCTTATAACTAATAGCGAAAGATGCCTTCCAAAAGCAAAGCAAAATATTATGGGAGAGAATTTCGTTAGAAACAAAGATAGGGTACTTTGTATGCATTATATATTACCTGATGTATTAGCACCATATAGATAGATAGATAGATAGATAGATAGATAGATAGACAGATATTATCAGATAAAACGTCTACACACATATATTGATCTGTCTTCATCAATTATTACCAATTTGTCTCAGTCTTTTCCTATCTGTCCCGTCTATCTAACTCAACCTGTTTATATATTTCTATTTATGAGTGTGTTTCTATCTAATTTCTTATTTATGAGAGTGTTTATTTCATATATATATATATATATATATATATATATATATATATATATATATATATATATATATATATATATCGTAATCTGTTTACATCATTCTGTTTATGAATCTGTTTCTATCTATCTCAGTCACATTCAAATCTATCTATCTCAATCTGTTTCTATCTTTCTATTTAAGAGCCTGTTTCTATCTCTCTCTCTCTCTCTCTTTTCTCTCTCTCTCTCTCTATATATATATATATATATATATATATATATATATATATATATATATATATATTGAACAATAAAAAATATTAAAAAATTAAAATCTTCAAACACACTGTGTTGTAGATTAATATTCTTTCGTTTTTATTATTATTATTTTCTTTAGATGCTTCGACTAGTTTCGGCCAACATGGCCATCATCAGGAGAAAAAAAAATTCTGCTTGCTGGTAGCAGCGAACTGCAGAAATTAATGTCTGTAGTTTTCATTCGTTTTTTGCTTTGTTTTGTTTTTATATTTTTTATCTTTTTAAAATGAATTTTTTATCTTCCTTGTGTTGGTCAAATAGTCTCTTTTAAGTTGTTATTTGAGATAAGAGCTGGATGGATCCATGCTGCTCTGAATCCCCCTGGTCAGTTTGAGAGTTTTATTGGTTCCTGGAGAGAGGATGTGTCTCTGTTAAGTGCGTGTGTGTGTGTGTGTGTGTGTGTGTGTGTGTGTGTGTGTGTGTGTGTGTGTGTGTGTGTGTGTTATTTGGTTCTTAGGGAGTGAGTGAGTATGATATGTGTAAGCGTGTATATTACTGTGGGTGTGTGTTATCATTTGGCTCATTAAGGAGTGAGTGAGTATGATGTATGTAAGTGTGTATATTCGTGTAGGTGTATGTATAAGTGTGAGGCCTCAACACCTCCGTAAGCATGTCTGTCTATATATATATATATATATATATATATATATATATATATATATATGCCAAAGCTAAGAGATCCGCGAAAAAATTTTGGAATGATGGTTCTCATGAGGACTGTCGTCTCAGACTTCCTGGAGTCTTATTGCAAACGGAATGGGCGCCTATTGACTAAGAATGAAGAAAGCAGAGAGAGAGTAATTGGTTCTTGAAGTCATCAAAGACCAAGCGATCTTGTTGTGGCTGCTCGAGTGTGCGTTGGCTTGTCAGAATGAAAGTAGTAAATCTCTTTCGCTAGTTCTTTCGCTCGGCCATTTTTTACGTCATGTCGACACACGTAGTGACACACCGGTTATCAAACCGACAAAACGGAATCGTTCAACCGAGTTCGGATCTCAATCAAAAACTGCCTGTATCACTTTTTCACGAATACATTTGGGAAAAGGCATGAATATATCTCTCCCTGTGTGGGCGTAACCTAACGTTTTACGATGCGAAATTGGAATCGATGAGCTGAGTTCAAATTTCAACCGAGCCTTACACGTTCAGTTGATTCCAAATGTATAAAAGCAAAAATTCCTCAAGCCGACTACAGCAGCGAAGCACCTCAAACCCAAACCGAAGCTAAAAATCTTCGCTCTCAAGGGAACGAAGATTTTCGAGATAGATATCTAGTTTGAGCCGTTGGGTGGTGACACTTGTTAGGGTCAGATCCATCGGCAAATAGTAAATCCCAAAGACAAAATACTATGAAAGTGTGAAAGTGCATTTTTGTGTAAAATACCAATAATGTATTTTTGAATAAGGAAATTACTGGGAATACATAGTTCTATAATTACTAGCAAGACATTTTTAAAGCAAAATAACCAGTAATAGATTTTATATACGTACCGATAATTCATTGAAAAAGGAGTAGGGCTTGATGAAAAAGCCCACAAACCTGATAAAAACAAAGTTTTATCATCAAAATGTTTATGTTATTAAGATCAAAGTATTTTTTATTATTTCATTAAAAATTTTAATTCTTTCTTGCACGTTCGGATTTTTTTTTTTTTTTTTCTAAAAAATACATTGATTTGGAAATTCATGTAAAAATCAAATAATTGTCGGCTTTTAATAAAATTTTCAGGACTTATTCACAAGTGAATAAAATAATTTTAGAAACTTTTTTTTTTTAGAAAAACTTGGTAAACACAAAGTTTCATTGTTTATATTATTAAGATCAAAGTGCTTTATTATTTCATTATAAATTTTAATCCTTTCTTGCACGTTCGGAAATTTGGTTAAAAATCTTTTTTTTGCGTCAGGAAATTATAGCGTCTTTTTTGCTAAAAAATACATTGATTTGGAAATTCTTGCAAAAATCAAATAATTGTCGGCTTTTAATGAAACTTTCAGGACTTGAATGAAATAATAATTTTAGAAACTTTTTTTTTTTTTAGAAAAACTTGGTAGAAATACTTTTAACATCTGTTACCCTCACCAAATGAAATTTCGAGATATTAAATTTTCTACCTCCTCATATTTATATTAGTTAAAAGCTGTAGTCCTTGGAGAATGTAAATCATTTTTTCTTTTGAATAGTTAATCATTTACCGAAAATCCGCTCTGAATCATAAAATAGAAAAATGTAATAAAACTAAGACATTATTTAATTAGAAAATCTTTTAATTGCTTTTATAAATAATACATATTAAGACACTATTCTTTAGAAAAATATTTTTAGATGAATAATGAATTTTTACAAGATTCGTATTCACTTCTTCACATTTTAATTAGAATAACTTATTAAATTTTAAATATTTTTTAATCTTTTATAATTCTCTCTTAATTCGCCCCTTTTAGATCTTATTTTTATGTAAAAATATAACATAAATCATAAATTGAAAAGCTTAGTACAATTCATCACACCAATATTTTAAAAAGAATTTTTGATTTTTTTTTTTTTTATATTCGTGCCGATTTTCTATATACCGTCCATCATAAATGATATTATCAGAAAATAAGGGGCGATAACTATAGTAAATTTAAAGCCAAACATATTTAAAATTCAGTAAAATATTAGATTATGGAGAATATTTTCTCAAATTTTAAGAATCAATGAATACTTTAAAATTGTATATAAAAAGGGTCTCACGTTAATCTAATTACTTTTTTCAGGCCGAAAACCACCATAGAACATTAAACCGATATCAATCTGCCATTAAGGCTGTCAAACCCTCGAATGCCTTAAATAAACAACTACTTTCTGCGATATTTTAAACTTAAAATAAATAACAGCTGTTTCAAATCAGATTGATTATACTTTAGATCAGCTAATATTCCTCAACGTTTCAGAAAAGTATATTTTGGTTTTGAATTTTTTTTATAGAGAGAATTACATTACGATGAAAGCCGCTAATCAGCTATTTTAGCAAAAGAAACAAAAAATCCACCCAATTAATTTAAATTAAATCTTGAAATACAGCAAATTATTCTGCTTATTGAAATATTAAATATAATCTATTAGATTGAAATTAAAACTAAAATAAAACCTTCAAGAAAGATTTTTCATTTGGAAAAAATTCATTTTAAACCTTATGTATCGTTTTTTAGCGGGTGGAGGTACCTAATTTTATAGTAGAATGACCAACAATACATTTTATAGCAAAATGACCAACAATACAATCTTCAAGAAAAGTGTACTGAACTCTTATGTCATAGCGGTCATCATATATGGTAGTGGATGCTGGACAATCTCATCACAGACAAATGAAAGATGAAACAACAGAAATGTGGCTCTACAGAAGGATGCTGAGAATACGATTGACTGAACATGCGAGCAACGACGAAGATTTAGAGAAAATGAAAAAAAAAGGACCCTTAAACTTAACACCAGAAAGAGGCAGCTGAGATTTCTCGGACACCTAATGAGGAAGGAGGGATTGGAAAATCTGATACTCACAGGACAGATTTGGGACAGAGGAAAACATCGCGTAACACACTTGGTGAGCTTGAGTAAATGGGTGTTGCATCAAGATTTAGGAGAAAAACAAGATTTATTAAGAAACACAAAGGACAGGAAATTGTGGAGGGCCATGATCGCCTATGCCCTGAGGGAACCCGGCACATAAAGAAGAAAACATTATGGATTTAGCAAGGAGTTTATTATTTATTAACTTAAGTATTAAGTGAATGACATTCAATGAATTCAAATAGGAAAAACGTGAAATTTTCCCGGACATTAAATGTTGATCTTAATTTGTTATGCTTATTAAGATCTACGTTAAGAAAGGACATTCTACCGGGCTATTGTGGCTCTCTACATATAAATTTTATTACCGTATATTGTCTCGTATTATGCTTAATATGATCTGCGGTAAAAAAAAAAATATGATCTGTGGTTAAAACAATTTTTTATATGATCTGCGGTAAAAACATTTTTTTATATGATCTGTGGTTAAAACAATTTTTATATAATCTGCGGTAAAAACAATTTTTATATGATCTGTGGTTAAAACTATTTTTATACAATCTGCGGTAAAAACATTTTTATATGATCTGCGGTAAAAAAAATTATATGATCTGCGGTAAAAACAATTTTTATATGATCTGCGGTAAAAACAATTTTTTACCTGTTGCCTAATTTGTCATAGCATTTGTATTTTATTATGACTTTTGTTAAACAATTCTTCTTGTTTTCTTCTCTTCTTTTTCTACTTCTTCCTCTCCCTCCTTTCCTTCTTCTTCTTCCTTTTTTCTTCCACTCTTCCTCTTCTTCTTCTTTTTATTCCTCTTCTCCCTTCTTCTTCTTCTTCTTCTTCTTCTTCTACCTATTCTTCTTTCTCCTCCTCTTCCTCCTCCTCTCCCACTTTTCTTCCTCTTCTTTTTCTTCCTCTTCTTTTTCTTCCTCTTCTTTCTCTTCCTCCTCTCCTCCTTCTTCCTTCTCTTCTTCCACTTCTTCATCTTCTTCTACCTCTTCTTCTTCTTTCTCCTC